TTCTATTTAGTATGAGGGTGTACAGGGTCTCACCACGTAGATCAGACTCCTACTGTTTTCAGCCTCCCAAATGCTTGGATTACAGGCGCACGCCGCAGTACCCAGTCTCAGTCACTGTCACCATCTCAGTGTGCCCGGGGAAGGGACCAGCATAGCACATGGTGCTGGGGGATTGGACCCCGGTCCCTGTGCTCTGTCTAAGCAGGCACTTTAGTCTGCTGAGCTCTCTGGCCTCAATTGTATGTTCTTTTTGCTTTGCTTTGCCTGTCTTTCTTTTCTTTCCTTTCCCTCCCCTCCCCCTCCTTTCCTTTCCTCTTTCTTTGACAGGGCCATGTTATGTAGTTCAGGCAGGTCTCAAACTCAGCAATCTTCCTGCTTCAGCCCCCTGATTGTGGGGGCTACAGTTGTGTACCACCAGGCCTGGCTGGATCCAATAATATAAAATAACCTAGTTTTTCCTTTAGCCAGTAAAATTTCATGCACAAATATTTACTGAATGAAATCACCCAACCTGCAAACCAAGGCCTCAGTGCTGTGTAATCATTCCCATTGGTTAAGGTGAGTTGCAGGGCCGGCCAGATAGCTCAGTTGATTAAAGCTCAGGCAGAGGCAGGCAGGGTTCAATCCCCATCCTGTTATGCTGGCCCCGCCCCCAGGGCACCATGAGACAGTGATTGAGACTGGGTGAGGTGGTGGGCATCTGTAATCCCAGTGCTTGGGAGGCTGAAAACAGGGGAATCACTGTGAGTCAGATCTGTGTAGTGACAACCCTGTAGGTAGACCCTGTACTGAAGAAAAAAGAAAAAAAAAAAGTGAATTGCAGGGACTTCAGAGAGTCAGCCAGATTGTGCTATGGGACCGACAATAAAGCTCATATGAAGTCAACAAACAGTTCCTTGAATTGTTCAACATAAATGTATATTTTTGATAAATTCCTGCACCAGCTAAACCAAAACTTACATGAAGGCTTGAGACGTCTGTCTGTCTGTCTTCTCTCTCTCTCTCTCTCTCTCTCTCTCTCTCTCTCTCTCTCTTTCTTTCTTTCTTTCTTATGCTGAGAATCAAATTGTGCCTGCCAGGCAGGCGCTTGTGCCACTGAGCTATATCCCCAGCCCTACCATGTTTTGTCTTACATTTAAATTTGGAAGAATAGCTGGGCACAGTGGTACACATCTATCTCAAAATGGGAAAAAAAGAGCTGGGGATGTAGCTCAGTGTCAAGGCCCTGGGTTCAATCTCCAGTACTGAAAAACCATCCCATGAACAGAAACTACAAATAGCCCAAAGGCACGTAGGCTTCCCCTTGTGGATGGTGTGTGTGCTTATGTTTCACAAGGCTTTGGAGCTACTGACCCCGCCTGTCGCAGACAACGCACATGCAAGGATGAAAGCACATGTCCGGCGTGGAACGGCATTCTGCCAACTGGAACTGTATGCGGAGGGTAAGAAGGCGACAGAAACGTTCCTGTGTGCAAGTTGTACACTGGAAATAAAATGTCAGGCCGGCCAAATAGCTCAGCGGATTAAAGCGCCTGCAAGCAGGTGCAGGGGCCAGGGTTTGAGCCCTGGGCCTGCTGTTCTGGCCCTGACCCTGGGGCATGCTGAGAAAGCAGTTGGGACTGGGAGTGGTGGCGCGCACCTATAATTCCAGCTCTTGGGAGGCTGTAAACAGGAGAATCACTATGAGTCCAATCTAGTAGTGAGACCCTGAACACCCTGTAGACCCTTCCCTAAAATGCAAAAAAGAAAGAAAATGTCATTGGGATTGTTTCAGGTTGTGACTTTTAGAACGTTGTGATTTTATAATTTTAGCAGTGCATTTATTCTTAGAAATGGATCAGAAAATACAAATTTCTTTTAAAATTTTATCAACTGGTTGATTGTGTTACTTGGAATTGAAGCCAATGCCTTTGCACCATCTGAGCTAAATTTTGAGACAGGGTCTCTGTAAGTTGTCCAGACTGAACTTGAAATCGTGACCCTTCTGCCTCAGCCTCCTAGGGTGCTGGGCTTACAAGCGTGTGCCACCACACCCAGCTAGAATTGTATTTGAAAATGTAGGGCAAGGGCCATAACGTGGCTCAGCAGTGCCGCATGTGTCTGCAGGGCTCGAGGCTGTGCACTCAGTTCCTGGACCCCATAAGCAGATAAATGAATAGATAAATGAATGTAGGTGGGATGAGGCACACCCATGAAGTCCTGGCACCTGGGAGTCTGAAGGCAGGAGGATCACCAGGAGTTCAAGGCCAGCCTAGGCTACATAGCAAAAATGTCTCAAAAATACACATACCCACATACAAAACATAAAATGAAAAAAAAAAACAAGAAGAAAAGGAAGGAAAATATGAAAATATGATAGTTTTTGGGTTTTTTGTTGGTTTTTGAGCTAGGGGTAGCCTTGGTTTTAGAGATAAGAAAATGAGGCTTGGGCTGTGTGAGATAGCTCAGTGGTCTAAAGTGGCAGCTTCGGCAAGTGCAGGGGACCACAGTGCCAGCCCTGGTACCACATTCCATGCCAGCCCTGCCCTTATGATGGGCTGAGCTGACCAAAAAAAGAAAATGAAGCTTGCAGAGATGGATTTGCCTACAAAAGAGGGCAGATCAGAATCACTGGGACTAGAACTTGAGACTCCGCACTCGCAGAGAACATTTGTCAGAGGCTTTTTGGGTACAAACAAAAGACTCAGTTACCTGTTTTAAGCAAAGCACACAATACTTAAATTTTAACCCAACCTTCTTCAAAAGAATTCTGTATGTAACTACACACAAAAAAAAGTACTTAACAATATGAATAGAAGGTTATGGAATGAATCTACCTAACTTTTTTTTTTTTTTTTGTCTTTTTTTTTGGTGGAACTGGGGATTGAACTCAGGCCCTTGAGCTTGCCAGGGAAGCGCTTATTCCACTGAGCCATCTCCCCAGCACTCTTTATTGTCTTTTTGAGACAGGGTCTCTCTGTACAATTCAGGCTGGCCTTGAGCTCGTTTTGCAGCCCAGGCTGGTCTCAAACTCACAATAATCCTCCTTCCTCAGCCTCTGGAGGGTTGGGGTTACAAGTGTGTCACACCACGCCCCATTTACAAAATGTTTTAAAGATCTCGACTTCCTGCCTGAATGGAAACTCAGTGGTAGGCCTCATGCCTGTCATATACTGGGTCCTGAGCTCAACAGTGCTCTCTCAAATACCTAGCATCTCTAAATTATTTTTTAATTTGAGGTGATTAAAAGTATTGTTTAGAGGCCAGAGAGATGGCTCAGTGGAATAAGCGTTTCCCTGGCAAGCACAAGGGCCTGAGTTCAATCCCTGGTTCTGCCAAAAAAAAAAAAAAAAAGTATTTAGATGCTTGAGTTTGTTTGATATGGGAAATGACAGAGGACCTTAAAATGATATAGGGAAAATATAACTGCCAACCTGCTAGATGTCTGATATGCCACAGACTAATTCATGTTCCCTAAAATTAATGAATTCTAAGGCACAACAGAGATTAAGACTGAGCTGGGCATGGTGGCACATGCCTCTAATCCCAGCACTTGGGGGGCTGAGGCAAGATAATTGTGAGTTCCAGACCAGCCTGCACTGCAAAGTGAGCTGAAGGCCAGTAGGAACTGCATAAGGTTTTTTTTTTTTTTTTTTTTTTTTGTAGCCTCAGAATGCCTTCAGGGCAGGTCTGGTTTGGCATGAGGATCTGGGGATTGAACCACAGCATCCTGAGCCTGACTGCTTTGTTTAAGCAGGCACTTAAACAACTGAGCTAATGGGTAGGAACTGCATTGTGAGGAGACCTTGTCTTAAAACAACAACAATCACAAAACAAAATAAAGAGTAGGAGCTGTGATTTGAGAGGGAGAGACAGGAGCAGTCCCGAGTGGGTTGCCAATGAATCCACTTTCTGGAGGGAGCAAAATCACAAGGTAGGTACAACATGGGTCAAAGCTGTGACCAACCAATAAGGTGGCAAGTGCAGCTGGTTAATACCGATCCAGTGGGGAAGCAAGTCGCTTAGCAAGTGTGCACAGAAAGAACAGAGCTCAGGGAGGGGCGGGCCTGAGCTTCTTAGTCACCACTGAGCCGACTGACGTCACTCTAGGCTGCATTGGTCCGCTGTTACCTCATATCCCATGGGGAGGCAGGGAGGCCTGGCTCCCAGCAGGTGTGCCTCTGGCTACAGTTCTGATGTGTTCTCATCTTCTGCACTGTCTTTCTCCAGGGCCTACTTCCTCTGACTGCCTGGAATAATTTGACCTAATTTAGCTATCTGTAATACTTTCAAGACTGAGTGTGGTGGCACACACTGTAATCCCAGCTCTTGGGAGGCTGTAAACAGGCAGATCACTACAAGTCTGATCTACTAGTGAGACCCTGAACACCCTGGAGACCCTTCCCTAAAAAATACAAAGAAAAACAAAACAAACAAAAAAATGTAATACTTTCATTTTTGTTTTCTTTTTATAGTTCAGGCTGGCTTTGAGCTCACTTTGTAGCCCATTCTGTCCTTGAACTCCATGATCCTCTTGCCTTAATCTCCCCAGTTTTGGGATTATAGGCGTGTGCCTGGCCAAATTTGCCTGGATTTTTGAGATAGGGCCTCACTATATAGGCCAGCCTGGCCTAGAATTTACTTCTATCTTCCTGCCTAAATTTCCCTACTGCTAGGATTATAGGTGTGCACCACCATACACAGCTGACCTTATTTGTATTTTAATGAGTTTAAGCCCCAGGAGTTTTTCTGTTCTACTTTTTTTTTCTTTTTGGTGGAACTGAGGATTGAACTCAGGGGATTGCGCTTGCCAGGGAAGCGCTTATCCCACTGAGCCACTGCCCCGGCCCCTCCCAGGAGTTTTTCTGTATTTAAATTTAAAATACTGGGGGCCAGAGAGATGGCTTAGTAGAATAAGTGCTTGCCTAGCAAGTGCAAGGGTCTGAGTTCAATCCCTGGTTCCGCCAAAAAAATAAAGTAAATAAATAAGTTTAAAATACCAAAAATAAATAAATAAATTTAAAATACCTAGTCAGGTGTGGTGGGGCCCTCATATAGTCCCAACACTCCTAGGAGGCTGAGACGTTTGGATCACAAATCCCACCCCTGGCAGTTCTGTGACTTAGCGAGACCCTGTCCCACAATAAGAACACTAAGGCTAGGTTTAATCCCTGGCACCATAAATAGAGTAAAATAAATAGCTACTTTTTTTTTTTTTAAATAGGGTGTATTGAGGCTGGCTTTGAATTCACTATATAGCTTAGGCTGGCTTTGAACTCAGAGTGATCCTCCTGCCTCAGCCTCCTGAGTGCTGGGATTACAGGGGTGTACCACCATGCCTGGCAAGCTGTTTGTTTTGAACCCTGAATGAAATTGTAATTGTTTTCTAAATCGTGGAAGAAGGCTTATATCTGATATTGTAGGAATACTGCCATATGTGAGGGTGAGAAACTGATTCATGAAAATACTCTCTCCTGGCCAGCCAAATAGCTCATTGGACTAAATTGCCTACTTAGGCAGAGTGCAGCGACAGGAGTTTGATCCCCAGCCTGCTGTGCCAGCCGACTGAGGCTGGGCATGGTGGTGCGCACCTGTGATTCCAGTGCGTGGGAGGCTAAAAACAGGAAGATCACTACAAGCCCAATGTGTGTAGTGACACTCTGTAGACCCTGTCCCCTGTAGACCTTGTACTAAGAACATCTAAAAAAACATGCTCTCTCCTTAGTCACTTTTGCCATTGCTCTGTGATTAGGCCTCCAGGACTATGAGGCTGCGCTCAGGATTGATCCAGCCAACACGGCTGTCTACAGCGATGCTGAGAAGATTCGAGATGTCATCAAGGAACAGAACTGCTAGGAGCAGCCGGGGTGCACCAGGTACTTACAGTGTTCAGTACCAGGTTTTTAAATTTTTCAAAAATAGTGGCACACCCTGTGGTCCTTCACCTGGAACGCTGAAGCCAGATGATCTAGTTCTAGGCTCACCTGGGCTATGTGAATTCTGTCTCAACAATGCAAACTGGAGATGCCAGGAGTCTTTGTGCATATTGTGGATGATCGTGCAGAATCTGTCTACTGTTTAACATTTTAGTTCTTTACTGCTCAGCATTACCTATCTGTAGAAAATGAAATGTTTGCTTTATATAATTTCCAATGAGAATTACCATGTTAAAAAAATTGTGAAAACAATTACCATATAATTATATAAATATATTTGCAACATGTTGTTTGTTATTGTTACTGAGTTACAGTTGCTACTGAGCAATATTTAACCCATGCAGGGGCCCTCAGGTGGACACTATGTGTGGGAGGTTTTGTGTGTGTTAAGTCCACCATCGGGTCACCTTCCTGTCCCCAATATCCATCATGGCACGTAGACTAGGGGAGCCTACTGTACTGAGAAGACCTTACTTCACTTCTGATGTAGCCACAGAACAGAGCTGCAGCGTATTCAGCTCATGGTTCTTGGTACGCGGCGCAGCCTGTCTCTTTATAGACAGAGTGAGCACCTCTGTGAGCTGAGCAGAGGCTGGCTTCATATACCAGAAGGCAGCCGAAAGCAGAGCGCAAGGCTGGCACACTCCTGTCCTAATAGCACTCAGGAGCATCGCTGCAGGTTCAAGGCCAGCCTCGGCTACATAATGAGACCCCACCCCCCAGAAAGTGCAGATTTGCAGGGCAAGCATCTATAATTCTGGCCCTCAGGACAGCAGGCTCTGGGGACAGCTCAGTGGCACAGTGCATAGGTCATGAGTTTGATTCCAGATACCACCCCCTAAAAAAATTAAACTCCAGAAGTAGAGTTAAATTTGCTGGGCATGGTGGCACATGCCTGTAATCCCAGCACTTGGGAGGCTGAGGCAGGAGCATCACCCCAGAGTTCAAGGCCAGCCTGAGCTGCATAGTGAAACCCTGTCCCACAGGAAAAAAAAAAAAAAAAGCCAGCCAGGGCTATTTAGCAGATCCCGTCTCAAAAGAACAGAAATAAAAAAAGTGCAGCTCAGCAGTGGAGCAGTGTAGGAGTCCCTTCCTGGTTCTTGTCTCAGTCCAAGAAGTTAATATTTGGAATCCCAAAGATACATTATTGGAATCCCACCAAGTTAATTCCAATCTACCACTCCAAGTGCAACCCATGGCGAAAGTAAAGACACTAAGACATATTTATGATTATTGGGGAGCCAAGGTGCCCTAAGTCCAGCCACAAAGATGGCTTCCCAGAACCAAGAGGCTGACCCAGGGCCTCACCCAGTTTTATTCAGTGGAGGAGTGGCTTGAGGAGGAATGACCGAGAATTGTGGGAAGTAGGTGACTCCTGTGAGCTAAGCTGGGTGGGAGGCCTACCTTTACCTCTTTTTTTTTTTTTTTTTGGCGGAACCGGGGAATTAAACTCAGGCCCTTGCACTTGCCAGGGAAGTACTTATTCCATTGAGCCATCTCCCCGGCCTACATTTACCTCTGCCATGTGCAGAGAGGATATGCAGAGAAAGTAATGTTTTATGCTGTTGAGATAGTATCTGATGTTTTGGGGGGTCTGGTGCTTCAGCTCTGATGTAGTCTTTCAAGCCCCAGGAGGTCATAGCCTTGATCTCAAGGCTTGATCCCAGCTGATGTCATGGAGCATCGGCTCTTCCTTCCTGTCTCCACCCGGCTCACATTGAAGAGCAGCAGGTGTAGGTTACCAGGGAAACACGCATGCCACCTTCACAGACTATCACCAGCACCTCAGCTGGACCAATACACATTGCTTAAGGCCAGTTGAAGGATAAACAGAAGCCCTAGCCAGCTCTGTACAGAACAATACGAGGAAATAGGGTCAGGCTCAGTCAAAATGGAGACAGTCCCTCTTCTTTCAAGGAGAGCTGCTCAGGTGGGCCTCCGCAGAGCGGAGCCTGCCTGTGGCCCTGGTTCAGTCCTAGCCTGAAAATCAGGCAAAGGCAGCATTTTCACACTGTTACCCTGGGAGGCTGAGACAGAAGAATCACAGGTTTGAGCCCAGCATGGACAAGTAGGACACTCAATAAACTCTGTACTGTATAATCCAGAAAGTCTGAGAAGCTGAGGGGAGGACTGTAAGTTCCAGGCTAACCTGGCATACATAACAAGATGTTTTTTAAAAAGGACAAAAAAGTCACTATCAGTTATCAGATGAGAATGTCTTTATTTCTTAGAGGTATATTTTCATGTATTCAAATCTTTGTGATCTTAACCTAGGTATTCTAGCCTTCAGTTCACAATTCATTTTTCTAGGTACATTTTTCTCCAAAATTGTCAAAGGAATATATTTTCACAGAGTGTGTTGAAAATTAGGGAAATCAAGGGTTCTTGTTCTGTCAGGTGCGGTGTTTAGGCTGTTGTTCTGATAAAGTCCAGTTGCTCGGATATGGCTGGAAAATACCTGCTCTTTTGGAGCATAATTGCAGGGCAGAAACTGGGGCACCGGGGTAAACTCCCCGTGGCGGCTTGCGCTGGTCTTGTACATGATCATGCGCGGCTGCGACAGGGAGGTGGCTGTGTGTAGCGTCTTCGGGTCCAACATGCAGGAGAACACAGGGTTGCCGGGGCTCACGCATGGGGCCTGCAGGGCAGCACGCACTTCTGCATCTGACTCTGCAGCCAAAGGACTCTTCCTGTCCTAAGGGGCAAACACATGAGGCCTTTCAGTTACAGAACAGTGTATGCTGCCGTATGGCTCCACTGTAGTGATCTTGTGTGAAGGCACTGAGGAACACACCTGCACGTCCCTTCTATCTGTACAGAGCAACTTGTCAGAAGTGTACACAAACCATTTTTAAAAAACCTTGGAGGCCAGAGAGATGGCTCTGTAGAATAAGCACTTGCCTGGAAAGCACAAGGTCCTGAGTTCAATCCCTGGTATCACCAAAATAAAGAATAATAAAATAAAAAATCTTACACTAAACTGGGTGTGATGACGCACACCTGTAATCCCAGCACTCTGGGAGGCTGAAGCAGGACCGCGAGGTGGAGGACAAGACAGGCTTTCTGATCAAGTCTCGTTTATTGAGGAAGTGAACAGGGTCTAAATAGCTGTATAGTGGAAGCAGCTGGGTGGGACTAGTTGTGGATTGGTAGTGAAGATCCAAGACCACAGGAAGATGCCGAGGCAAGCTGGGGGCAGGGTGAGTCACAGCACCAGTCCTGGAGGCTTGGCCACTCTGGGCTTCACTGAGCACTGGGCTTCCCTGTACTGACAAGAAACAGCCAGCCGAGGTACAGCAGAGAAAATGGTAGACCAGAGACAAGTAAATCATAACTAAAAACTACTTTGGGGGGTTGTCTTGAGAAAGGCTCTCATTACACAGTTCAGGCTGGCCTTGCCATGCAGATGAGGCTGGCCTGCTAGTGTACACCAGCCATCCCAGTCTAATCTGATTTTAAAACCTAAAACAATCAGTTCTTAGAGCATTAAAGAAGCAAGATGTAATAGGGGCTGGGAGTGTAGCTCAATAGTGGAACACTTGCCCAGCATGATAAGGTCCTGGATGAGGCCCTCAGCACCTTCACATAAATCGATCACTTTTTTTTTTTTTTTTTTCCATTTGTGTATTTGGTACAGGATCTCACTATGCAGCCCAGATTCCTGGTGATCCTCCTGTTTTCAGCCTCCCCAGTACTGGGCTTACAGGCGTGCACCACCATGCCTGGACTCTTGCCACTGGCTCATCACGCCCTAGGGGCAAGGCTGGTGTGGCATGCGGGACCAGGGATCGAACCCTGGCCCCTGTGCTTGCCAAAGCAGATGCTTAGTCCACTGAGCTATCTCTCTGGCCTATAGATCACTTTTTGAGTGGGATGTGGTAGCACACCTGTAATCCTAGCACTGGGGAGGCTGAAGCAGGAGGATCGATGAGAGTTCAGGGCAGCCTGAACTGCAGAAAGACCTTGTCTCAAAAAAACCCAAAAACATAATCTTAAAAAAGACTGGGACTCCAGCAAGTACCCAAAGTCAGTGACAATGTTCTTAGTGTTTGTGCTTCTTTTCTTCTAGGCCCGACACCCTCCAAATCCTGTACAGGTACTTCATGTTTATAAACTACTCCTCTTGGTAAAGGGCAGGAAACTTGGCCTTAAAGGAGCAGGCTGAGTTCAAAGAATGCTTCCTGGCAAAACACCTTAGCTCACCCACCTAAAAGCGAGCTGGTGGGGCTGTGCCCCGGGCCTGTGAACAGGGCAGACCTGCACATTCGTACCACCTAAGCGCCAGTATTCCAGCTCCCAACCGCAGTACGCTTCTCTCAAGGGCCTGCACTTCCACTAAATACTTTTTAAATTTCTGCTTAACCCTTCTAAGCCTCTTACTGATGCATCCCGAAAACTTTTTCCACGGCAGCAGTCGGGACCTGCAGTATACTCCTCAGGTAGGGAACCCACTGGGGTTCTGCCCGGCAGATGGTGGTCGAGGCAGCCAAGGTGGCCCTGGCAAGCTGAATGAGGCAGGCCAGGTCTGCAGCCAGAGCGTGCGGTGCCATGTGGCTCACACAGAGCCACTAGCTGTTTCACTGGGAAACTCATCTTGTCTACCTGCCTCCCTGGGGAAGGGAAGCCAAATGGTCACTGATGTGTCCTGTGTGCGTCTGGGGATAGAAGCTAGGGTGCTTTACTACTGAGTTCCGTCCCCAGTCACTTTTAATTTTGAGAAAGGTCTAACTAGCTAAATTAGCTGGAAATTTTGATCTTCCTCAGTCTTATGCTGGGATTCTTGGCTTTTACCTTCACAAGGTATTTATTCATTTTTATGTATTTAGTACAGGGTCTACAGAGTCTCACTATGTAGATCGACTGGTAGTGATCCGTAATTCCAAGGGCTGGGATTACAGGTGGGCCACCACGCCATCTGAACTGGGGGTGGGGCTGGCATGGCAGGCCTGGGAATAGAACCCCCAGCCCCTGCCTCTGCCAAAGGAGGCGCTCTAATCCTTTGAGCTATTTGGCCAGCGCTTCCGCAGGCAATTTAAATGTGACTTGAAACAGAACAAGGTGAGCTGGGCACGGTGGGGCCTCTCTGTGATCCCAGCACTAGGAAGCTGAGGTGGGGGAAGGTGTGGATTTGAAGACAACCTGGTCTATATGAGCAAGTTCAGGCCAGCCTGCACTACACTGCCCGGCCTCAAAACAAAGAACAAAACCACAGCAATATTCATATGTACTAGAGTTCTCTTTCTTTCAGTCTACTCTACATAGACTTGTTATTGCTGAAGCTGAGACTCCTCAAAAATCTAAAAACTAGCTATCACATTTTTGGGTTGGGGATGTAGTGCTCAGCCACATCTAGGATCAGAAGAGCACGGCACCCTGGCTGACAAGAACGTCAGGACTGCACCTTAAAACGTAGTGGATCAAGAGCTACTTATCCTGGACTCTTTTTTTAAAAAAATTTTTTTATTTATTTATGTGTGTGTGTGTGTGTGCGTGTGCGTGCATGTGTGTGGCCAGCTCAGCCCACCAGGGGGCAGGGCGGGCTGGCATGTGGTGCCGGGGAATGAAACCGCGGTCCCTGTGCTTTGCTAAGCTTGTTCTAAGTAGGTGCTTTAGACCACTGAGCCATCTCACCAGCCCCTGGACTCTCTTTTGTTGTTTTTTTTGGATTGAGACAGTGGAGGCTGGCCTCAAGCTCATTGCAGTTATCCAGCACCCGCCTCCAGGCGTATCCTAGGCTAGCTTCACTCCTTCAGTAGCCACTCACCTGAGCTAAACTTGGGGCTTCAGATAAATCCACTAGAATGCAAGCTAAGCTTGACACACCTCTTAGCACCCTGAAGCTATGAATTAAGATCTGAATCCTAACACCTATGGAAGTGTTCTCGGGTTGTACACACTCCACACAGTTCAGAGGTTGAGGCCCTGGGTTCAGTCCCCTGTATCACTACCCAAGGGGGAAAAATTATGGAAGTACAGTATTTGGTCCAGCTTAAGAGTGTGAACTGGCTTTTGCTAAAGAGAACCTTGCAAATATATCCTAAACCTGACATTCTAAAAGGCTCTGTGTTCTCTTAAACTTGACCAAATACTGTACCAAACACATAAAAGGTTAGTTTTGTAGTGTGGCTTTCTAGCCCACAGCTGTGACTTCCTTTTTCGTGGAACTCAGGGCCTTCGCGTTGAGCCCTACGTAGCAGCCGTTTCTTGGTTGCATTTTGAGACCGGGCCTCACCGTGACTGTCCCGTGGGCTGAGCATCGCCCCTCAGCTCTCCCGCCTCAGCCTCCCACAGTGCTGACAGCGCAGGCCTGCACCACCAGGCGTGGCCCGCTTCCCTAGTTTTCGTTCCGACCCAAACGACGAGGAAAGACCCTCCAGACTGCACAGGGCAGCACTGTGACCGCTGTTCCTCTCCACCTCCAGAACTGTGCGCCTCGGGTTGAAGGCGCGAAGCTCCACGGTCTCCTGGAAGGAGGATTTTTGGGGTGGGAGGAGGCGCTGCCTCCACGTCTAAGAAAGCAGATTCTCAAACCCAGCCTTTCACAGACCCGCCCTGGCTCCATCCGCCCGCTCGATCCCTCGGGTCGACGAAGTCCTTCCCGCAGCAGCGCCCCAAGGGGCGAGCCGTGCGCCATCCTGGCTGTGACTGTGGGCTCCGGTGCCCTGGTTCCAGCGATTCGGAAGAGTCCACGCCACAAGCCCCAGGCAGTGAGTTCTCCGCGCTGGTCATAGTCTCCATAGCAACAGGTCCGGCGCGCGGCCCGGATGTTGTGAGGTCCGCAGCCCCGCCATTTCCGGCAGCGCGCGGCCCCCTGGGAGTTGTAGTTCACCAGACACTAGGCGCTTGGCCCGGGGCGCACGCGGGACTGCGTCTCCCGGCATGCGCCGCGCTCAGGCTCCGCCTCTGGCCGCCGTGAGCAGGTTGTTTTTATGAGGCGTCACCAGCAGCGAGGGTCACAGCCGCCACCGCGAAAGCGCACCTTGGCGGAGGTGTCCGCGTCTGGTAGGTGCGGGGCTCGGCAGGTCGGCCGCGTGGGCTCCGGGCGGCGTGGTGGTGGGGTTGTGCCCTTCGTCCGGGTCCGAGGCCCCGACATCCTGGCCAGTCAGTGAGCGGCGGGGCTGTAGCGCGCGCCCTGCTTCGGGGCGTCTCCGCCTGGGAAACGAGTTCCCGCCCCTCGCTCGCGCCTCTGGGCGACGTCTGCGCCCCAGCTGCCGGGACTGTGCCCGGGTTCGTCCCTGAGTCCGCCGGTGAGAGCAGACCCGTTGCCGGCCCGAACGCCACCTTCCAGGTGGCTGGAGCTCGCTCCCAGCTGTCCCGCGCGCCCCCGTCTACCTCGAAGATCCCGACCTTGCCTTCGCGAGCAGTCTCCCCACCCCTTTCTCCAACGGGGTTTTTCACTCATCTACATCACATCCCTTTCGAGTTTTTTGAGACAGGGTCATTCAGGGCTGGTCTTGCGGTCCTGCTGCCTCATCTTCCTGAGCGGCGGGGATTACAGTCGGGCGACTTTTGGGGGTCTCTGAGACAGGGTCTCACTCTAGTTCTGGCTGGCCTTGAACTCACTATGAAATCTATGCTGGCCTAGAGCTCAGCCTCCTGAGTGGAGGGATTACAGGTGTGAGTGCCCCCGTATCCACCCGCCCCGTTTTAGAGTGCGGTTTTAAAGAAACTCGGCCATCTAAGGTGCTTTGTTGGGTGGTGAGATTTGTCCCGCTCTAACCTTTTCTTTTAATAGACTTTCGTTGCACGTTGTAGCCCAACCTTGACCTTGGCCTCAAGACCTAGTGTTACACCGCCCTGCTTGCTCTGTTGCTCGAGCTTCATTAAACAGGATGTGGTTTTCTTAAAGGTAGGATAGGCTACTGCTTTGGTACTGCAATTTAGAGGTGATTTGCTTTTTCCAGTAAGGTCACTGCCGCTGGATAGTGCTTAAAATGTCTCTGCAAAGCAGGGCCTTCACATGGGACTGAAGCTCCAGTCCGGTGGTATTACTAAATGATATTTTAACATAGGTGCTTAGTAAGTTGCTCGTACTGGACTTGAAATTGCAGTCCTACTTGAGGCTCCCAGAGTGCTGGGATTACAGCACTGTGGGTTTAAGTTTTACTAGCCTCCCACATTTCTCTCACACCTGGGTAGTGTGAATGGTTTTCTAAGTCCAAAATTCTATTCAAGCTATTAAAAATTATTCATTAAGAATGCTTAAGGGGTGTGGGAAATATTTTAAAATTAAAATAGGTGAGGAAATATTGTAATTAAAACTAAGTCTTAGGAGCTGAGTGTGGTGGTGCACACAATCCCAGCACTCAGTCTGTGATCTCCGCACCTGAGGGAGGCTGAGGCAGGAGGATCACCAGAGATTTAAAGCCAGCCTGGGTGACACAGTGAGTTCGAGGCCAGCCTCATTTGTCTGAAAAAAAAAAAAAAATCCTCCAAAATAAAAATAAGAGTAAAACCAGGCTTTAGCTGAGTGGTGGTGCATACCTGTGACCCCCAGCTTGGGAGGCTGAGGCAGATTGATTTGCAAGCCTAGGCTAGGCTGAAATACTGGATGAGTTCAGTGTCAGCCTTAGCTACTTGGACGAGCCCCTATTTCAAAAAATCTCAAGTATGCAATAAGAAGTAGAGAACCCCCCCCCCCCGGTTTATTTTGGTGATACCGCAGACCTAGACCATGGGTGTTCTATCAGCAAGCTGCATCCTGAGCCAGTTTTATTTTGAGGCAGTTTTCATCAAGTTGCCCCACCTGGCCTGGAAGTTGTGATTCTCTTTCTTCAGCTTCCCTAAGTTCTGAGAAACCTGTTGTGTTGGCTATACTTAGAATAAGAAGTGACCAGCACAAAGTTGCTCAACAGCAGCTGCAGCCTCATTTGGCATTGTGGGGCTGCTAAGGCTCGGGTGCTCCCATCTGTGGTTAAGGAAAGGAAGTTGCTTGTCCTAAAAGATGGCTCTTACATGTTCAAGAGTTTCCTTCCTGGTTCTATAGACTTCACTAAGTTAACACACTTTAATACAAGCGGTTTGGTCCAAGCCAGTGTCCCTGCCAACCCACCACTCTGAGGTGAGAGGAGCTTCAGGCAGTGCCTGGGTAGGATCAGATGTTAACTTCAAGCTTTCGTAGCTTCAGGATAGGGAAGATGATGTGTCAAGAGGTGCATTCCAGGAGATTTGCAGTCCTGGGGATGGTAGGTCAGATCCTGAGGTTCTGGTGATGGCTGTGGAAGTTGGCCAGATAAGATGCTGAAGCACCTGGCTCTGGAGGCTCAGGAGAAGCAGGGTCACCAGCCTGAACTACCAAGTGACAACCTTGACTCAAAACAATGAAATTTAAGGGAGACTTGAGGTGAAGCAGCTGTGAGTTGCCCCTGATCCCCTGGAAGATGACCTTGGTGGCTGGGAGCCATGTCAGCATTCTGCCAGGGCTGTGAGGGATCCAGTTTGGTGACAGGTCTAGGAGTGAGCTCTGAGCAGAGGAGAAGGTGGGTTGTGAGTGGAAAGACAGGTGCGCCCTGGTCTGGCTGGGGAGGACAGCTTTGATGGCAGAGTGCAGTTCCCTCTGTCTGAAGGCCCTGTCAGTGCCACAAGGTAACCTGTGGATTTCTGTCCAGCCATCCTGTAGTCAGATGTACAGAACGATAACAGATGGGAAAAGCACATAAGGTAAGTCCCTTTCAGCTTCTCTTCCCAAATGAAGGTAGCTGTAAGAAAATAAGGCCAGATTATCCTTTTGTGGAAAGGTGGTTTAAAATTTACATTAAAATAGCAATGATATGTATTTTTTTAGTCAGTAAAGACAATATCTGAAAAAATACTGTGACTAGAGGAAAATACAGATCCAGAATTCAGTAATTCC